AGTGCTTCACCGAGTCCTGTTCTCTCCGAATTTGGGTGTTTTGATCTACAGTTTGTCAGACACTCCATAATATGAAGAGTACTCCAATCCTAATGCTCCTGCCAGGTCATTCTCCCCCTCTTCTAACCAACCACCCCTGGCCAGATCGGGATTCACATGCCACTCCCAAAACAGGTCGCCGGAGCGGCTTCCCCCACACGCGGACCGCGAGACGCGACCCGACCCGGCGACCTCCGCGAGCGCCCCGAGAGACCATACAAACCGTACTAAGACGGTCCGTATGCACAAGGGCCCCCCCCCAGAGCATGAATTCAAAAACCCATTCCAGGTGTGGGTGGGGTTTGAACGTTGAAATGGCATAATGATGCATAATGTATGAGACAAGACAAATGGTCAACAGAAAAGGAAGTGCAGAAGGGTGAAAGGTGAAAGAACACCCTTTACCCAAGGCTTGCTGTTCTCGAACGACGACAGCTCTAGCCCCAAAAATGCTAGTACGTCATCACATACCAAAATTACTTTGAAAAAGAACGTTATCCTGGGGCGTTTCTAAAAATTGTTTGAGACTTGGGATGGAAAATATTCAACAAGATGCCAGACATGCATTCGATTCGCTCCGGGAAGACAAACTCAGCAGTTTCTGTCCTCGGGCGCCGTCTTGGAATCTCTCCTTCTCCTCGGGTCGAAGTCGAGACGAATGTGTTTACTTCGAAGTAGAAACAAACGCTTCGACGCAAGTAGAAGAGACCGAACTCGGTCTCCAGGATTTCAGTATCTTTCTACGGGGGACACCTGTCTAGTCGACTTCCAATCGTTCTTCAAGGTCACAGAGCGAAGGTGAGTGTGAGGAGTATGCGGAGTATTCAGTTCCCCAAGCATTATTTCAGCAGCCGCCATCCTACTGGGGAGTTGAAAGCTTCAGAACCAGAAGTTTGTTCCGTTGCGGCATGGGTCCTAAAGCAGGGTACATCATTCAGGTAGGGCAAAGATGGAGGTACAGAGCCTTTAGAATCAAAATTCACATGTCAGCAGTGCCTTAAACTGTCCGATGGGTGATCCCAATCACTTAGCACCCTGGTCAGGATGGTTTCAAGATCTCCTGAAGCTGTTCAGAAGGGCTTGGAGGGATGAAGGTGGAAAGCTTTGAGCTGGCTAGAGATTACATGTGCAGCCTGCAGCTTCTTCCAATACTGCCCAATCCGGATCCCAGATCATCTTATGTAGACACCAGTAGGATCCATATGGATCCATACAAACCACTATAGACGGGTAGGTGGTTCCAGTTCGAGGACTTCCGACCAAAGCATAGACCGAATGAGGGCTCCATGGTTCCAGTTCGACGTTGGTGGCCCGAGATCCACGCGGGATTGGTCGACGGCTGGCCCCAGCCATGCAAAAGGGTCACAAAGGACGTACAGTTGATGCGTTGCCCAACTGAAGAAAACCCCTGGCATTTGCATGCACGAACTTATGGTTTTCAGCCCAGCTGCTGACCTCTGGAAGATCTGAAATTCAGAGAAACCGCCGTCTTGGGTCTTGAGCTGGGCGATTTTGATCAAAGCGAGCTCCTGCGTGGGCGGCTCTTCCTGCGAGCTCCGGCCGAGAAAAATCTCGAGTCTCTCGAAGCAAAACTTGGGCCATTGTTCCGCAGCATGAGTCTATCATGGCCTTACTACTAGGTGCAAGGACGCTACTAGGGGCTCCTGGCCTTACTACTAGGAGCAAGGACGCTACTACTAGGAGCAAGCACGCTAGTAGGGGCTCCTGGCCATACTACTAGGAGCAAGGACGCTACTAGGGGTTCTTGGCCATACTACTAGGAGCAAGGACGCTACTAGGGGCTCCTGGACATAATAGTAGGAGCAAGGACGCTACTAGAGGCTGCTGGCCATACTACTAGGAGCAAGGATGGTAGGAGGGGCTCCTGGCCTTACTACTAGGAGCAAGGACGCTACTAGGGGCTTCTGGCCATACTACTAGGAGCAAGGACGCTACTAGGGGCTCCTGGCCATGCTACTAGGACCAAGGACGCTACTAGGGGCTCCTGGCCTTACTACTAGTTGCAAGGACGCTACTAGGGGCTCCTGGCCTTACTACTAGGCGCAAGGACGCTACTAGGGGCTCCTGGCCATACTACTAGGAGCAAGGACGCTACTAGGACGCTACTAGGGGTTCCTGGCCTTACTACTAGGAGCAAGGACGTTACTAGGGGCTATACTGCTAGGAGCAAGGACGCTACTAGGGGCTCCTGGCCATACTACTAGGAGCAAGGACGCTACTAGGAGCTCCTGGCCTTACGCCTAGGAAGGACGTTACTAGGGGCTCCTGGCCTCACTACTAGGAGCAAGGACGCTACTAGGGGCTCTACTAGGAGCAAGGAGCTAGCTACTAGGACGCTACTAGGGGCTCCTGGCCTTACTACTAGGAGCAAGGATGCTACTAGGGGCTCCTGGCCTTACTACTAGGAGCAAGGACGCTACTAGGGGCTCCTGGCCATACTATTAGGAGCAAGGACGCTACTATGTAAGATTGATGAATTCTAAGTTTGAGTGTCACTCGCGGTCTGGCACCCTTATATATAGTCAGACTAAGCATGGTAGCCAGAAACCAAGGACTTCTATTATCTTCTATTTGTCAACGTGTTTCAATGTAATGGTCCATGGTTCTTTACACAGAGGTGTTGGATGGGACGTACAATGACATGTAGAATGTATATTACACAATGTTATTCCCCGTGTAAGTTCGAATTAGTAGTGGATTTAAAAAACGATTCGTAGGTCAGTCACCAATATATTGATATATGCAGTCATCCTCATCTTCACATAGAAGAAATCAGTGAAAACCAATAGAACACGTAGAACATGTGTTTGATGATGTTTGGATGATCAGAGTCCCCAAGTTTCTTGAGCATCATGTACAAGCGACGTCGCAGAACCAGCTCAGCCCCGGTTGCCGTGCAGCAGACCACGGCGGACCCGCGACCGATGGCGGACCCTGGTGCCGTCGGACCAAGACCAGTGAATCCAAGCGACCAAATACATCTCCTCAGGACCTTCAGGACTCGTGACCTCTTTGGGGTCTAGTGACCTAGTGATCTTTTATAGGGACTAACGGGACTAAGTGACCAACATTACTGGGATCTCAAGTTGGGTCACAAACTGAGGGTCGGGGTCGAGGGTGATCGAAATCTCAAATCCAACCACAGCAGTTGGTCTGGGCTCAGACATCAGAAGATGGGGACACATGACATGTTGTTTTTGTGAAATCATTTGGATTGTCACCTGCAAGAACAGGTCTCGGGCCGTTTTTGCATGCTTTTGCTCTATTTCAGAGAGAATCCTTTTGAACATTCAACTGCATTCTACGCCCAGGGATCCTCATACTTTCTCAGGTTCAGTACTTTTGGACCCCTTCACTTCATCTATATGTCCAGGTGTCTCAATACATCACTCCTGGGATCCGACTTCGTTCGCACACTGGTCAGTCGTCGAACTCTCTTTATATTCCAAACACTCCATGAAAGACAAGCACATCTACCGTAGCGTAGCTGGTGGAATTTGGGGTCGGGGCGGTATTTTCCAGACGGGCCGGGCCAAGTGAGGTCAATGGGACGAAACGAAGAGGTCAAGAGCGGCATCGAAGCAAAAACAGCGGGTCAAACCGTGGTCTGAGGTCCTCCATGCAGATATATATGTCATGTGGAAGATTTGAACATTCTAGTTCTTGTTCATAAATAATTTCTTGCTCCTAGTAGTACGGAGAGGAGCCCCTAGTAGCGATGCCCTTTGCTCCTAGTCGGACTTTGATCCAACAAGACCTGGTATAACAAGTACTGGTCCTTGACGCACTCGAGGGTTGCAGCTTGTCGCACCTCTTGAGAAGTTTTTGGGCACAATTTTGACTTGCGCAGGCGCCTGCTGGTCAACTTGTGAAAGTCAGTCGAAGCGACTGTGTCCAGGCCATTTCCTTGCAGCACCATCGCAAGCTGGAGCTACTTCGTTTGGAGGTGGCAGTTGATCAAGCCTCGGTAGCCTTTCATGGAAGGTCGCCAGACGCATCGAACTCCAACGACTCGCATCGTCCGAACTCCAATGAGTATACTGTCAGGAGGCGTTGTTGCCAGGAAATGAACTTGCTGAGGTCAAATCCGATGTGGAGATGGATTTGGGGCTTCCCGTAGCACTGGATTTGGGGGTGACCATTCATTCATGATTCAAGTCCTTTGGGTCTTCGGGATCATGAGTTCCGGCCAAGCCGCGCGCCGGTGCCACTCACTGGTCAAGCGCCGTTGACCCCGACAGTGCCTCACTTCCAGAGATTACATGCCCACCAAAACTTTGCGAGCTGAAGATCAACTGTGCTCCTTGACATCCTGCTGAACATGCCAGCCCTGCATCGAGCCCTTTTTTTCGATCGAACACCGCGTAGACGGGCCTTCCAGGTTCATCCTGAAGCCCTGAAGTCGGTCCGAGACACTCCGTGGAATAGATGTTGACATCCGAGACCACATCCGGTATATATGCCACACATGGAGTGTTTGGGAGCAGGGTTTGTCACACCAAACCGGCGGCGCGCCCTGGAGTCGCGCGGACAAGGTCGCCAAAAGCCGAGGGGGGCCGTGCGGTCGCAGATGTCGGCTCATCGAAGGATGTCGGGGAGAAAAACAGAACTCATCGAAGCATGGAGCCTCCACGGGGTTCACCTAGCCTGGGATTGCTTGAAGCTGGGAAAAGACTGCAGTGAGTGATATTGAGTGGTTGATACTTGAAAACCCAATTCCATGTATGCAAAAACCAATGACATGCGACCTTAATGTCTCATCCCTTCATGTGTGATCCGTGAGTTTTACGCGGTTTTGCAGAGCTTCACGTGAACAAACATCACATCACAAGTACCGTGACATCTACCCCAGACACTTCAACGCATGTTCACGTCGTCCCCTCGTCCATCAGTCGACCCTGGCGCGCCATCGGTCCCAGTCGCCCTCCGACCCATGCGAGGCCGGCGACGCCAGGAATACGCCGCGGGCCAGGTGAGACCGGGGAGACGGGGGGCGGTCGTCGCTTCGGGGCGTTTGGAGGAGACATCCAACCGGTGAGAGTCTCATCGAAATGGTGAACAGAGACGCATGCGTGGTGGGAAGCGGTGGGATGCGGTGTGAGTGGTTGTGAAAGCGGAGTTGTTTGGCCAATCCAAGGGCCAGAGTGTAGTTCAAACTGTACGCGATGACGAGGGTAAGGCTATAAGTTTCATCCGGGGAAAACGTGTATGTCAGGTGTGGTTCTTTCAGGTGACGGTGTCTACATCCAGGTTATCCCAGGTTTGTGTCTTAATAATAGGGCAGCAACTCAAATTCAATTCATTGCTCCTTTAAGTTTCTTATTAGCTTATAACTTATACTTATACAATTTGTTGCAGTCAGTGTTGGGATCTATTGGCATGGTGAAAAGGTGTGAAAAGTCACTTTACCCGTAACTTTAAACCCTTAACTTACGTATAGGTCTCGTTTTGAGTATCTTCGGTCTCGTCACTCACTTCCACCGACGAGGGACTTTGATGATTTGTGTTGTATTATATAGTAATATGTAGTAATAATGATAATAGTAATAGTAATATATACCCCTCGATTGTCCCCTCGATATGAACGACATCGAAGAAATGCTGGCATTGAAGAAACCAAAGTTGTGTGCCTTCTAATTGTTTTGTTCTAAAAAGTGTTTTTGCTTTTCCCTGGCCTTCAATGTAGAAGTTTTAACTTCGACGTGGATAAGGTAGATGTTTTACCAGGTGAAACATCGACGTAACTTAAACATTATGATTGGATCCATGGAGATAATGGTTTCACAATACTTTCCAGACATGAGCATAGAATCATATGAATCCCTGAGGTATCCTGAGGTCTATACTCATGAACTGGGGGTGAAGTTTTAGGACCTTCTAGAAGATTCCTATGAGATCCGGGTGGAACTCCCTCGCGTGAAGTTGCGTGAACTACCCGTGAAATTGGCGTGAATGTGTATGTTTTACCTATTAGATTCCATGTTTTACCGTGAGATCCGCGTGAAATCGCGTGAAGTTCTTCCCCCCAAAAAAGGATCCACGCAGGAAACCATAATTTTAGTCCAAGACTGTCCTATCTTATCTTGCTAAGACATTTCTGCCGCTCTGAAGGCTTCCACTGTGATTCACCTGCCTTTCAATGTGGAAGCTTCGCTTCAAAGCGTGATGTGAGAGCCCAAAAGATCCGTTCTTCCTGCCACATGTTAAAAAGTAAAACATCAACGTAAGCTTTGCTTCAAAGTAATACATCGACATTTTCCCATGTTGAAGTAAAACTTCGACGTTGGAAGGGCAGGGTTTTCTTGGAGAGCTTGCCAATCTCCGAGATGAGATGAGATGAGGACAACCATGGTCGACCTGTCCCAGGAAGATCTCGTTTGAAGGCAGATTTCGACCACGTGGCACCCGGAATCACTCCAAAACCAACCTAATTGCCATGGGTGCGCCTCGTCAAACGCTTCATGACTCCGACTTGTCCAGGGAACCATCATGAATACCCTGATGGATCCATGCATGGATCATCATGGATCATGAATCGTACAGCGGTGAAATTTGGGGGTTGGGTAATGGGAATCACATTGCAAACTACCCAGCACAAAGGCCTGCCGACTCTATCGTTTTTGGCTGACTCGAATCTGAATTCCTCCAAAACTATGGTCTTCAACCTCTTTCTGGAGACCACACGGCGGGCTTCGCGGCTTTCGCTGAAAAGTACTGACTCCACCAGGAAACGCTGTAGTGTCCACTGGAAGCGCTTCTTCCAGTCGAATCAAAGCACCCTTGAGTGATCGGCGGTTGCTCACCCCATCTCCCAATTTCTTGCGCCCGAGGGTGGGGCTTCTCGGACCCTCCCAGTTCGCGCTTCTCGGAACCAGCGCCCTTTCTCCGGATGCCGCGCCGACTCCGCGCGCCGTGCGCGGAAGAACGCGCGCGGGGCGTTCCGCGCAGGTCTTTGGCGAAGCTGAAGCGCTGCGAGTCTCCAAGGCGCCACGAGGGAGGGAGGGTCCCTGGAGCGACCCAGATCCGACACTCCGTGGGTAGAAGGTTATGCCTTTCTTGATTCCCCCAAGCAACCCCAATGTAGGCATGTAATATCATAATATATCAGAATTATATCATACCCTAGGGATCCAATTACCTTCTCAGAAGGCACCTGGACCCTCCAAACCCTCCCCAAACACCTTCTGAGAAGGTACTTGGATCCCTAGGGATAGAATATGATATATATATATATATGAGTTATGATAGATGATCAGATGTAGCACCAGTTACATGTACATGACATAGCTTGTATAGATGTATGTTTCACTGCAGCCGTTTGTTCAAGTTTGTTCAAGTTGTGGTTTACTTTTGTGTTCATTTCACTACCAGTGGAGTGGAGCTAAAAGTGTGCCTAAGCTTCTACTACAACCTTTGGGACAGTGACTTGGGGTCACAGAGTTTAAGAGCCTAAATTCTCCGTTCATGGTAGCGGAGCCGCGGTTCTAAGACCCGGCTACCGTCTGCGAATCGAAGGTCGCCGAGCCGCATCGGCTCTGGCACCAGAGATCCACAAAACAAGCATCACTTGCAGGAAAGCCGGATTGCTTCAATCCCTGGCTAACAAGTCAGCATGGCGCAACAGCCAGGAGCACAGGCACCACAAGCCACAGACATGGCACAACAATTTGCACAGATGATGCAAGCCCTAGCACAGGGGCAGAGCCAATTGCAACGAGCAATGGCAGAAGCATATACACAACAAACGGCAATCACAAGGAACATAGCCACTAGCGTAGAAGTAAGAGACAGATCCGAGTTGAAAGGCATTCCAAAGCCTGATAAGTTCAGTGGACACACAGGTACCTGGGATTCATGGTACTTCAAGTTCAAGACTTGGATTGAGACAAGTCACAAGAATGCAGGAAAGTGCATTCAGCTCCTCGAAGAGCATCAAGACACAGAGATCAATGAAACATCTCTGGAAGATGATTATCCTGAAGGAGCCGAGCTTGTTTCAGCTCAGGCCCGACAGGCTCTGATCTCACTATGTGAGGGAGAAGCCCTCGAGATTGTCAAGAATACCTCCAGAGGTCAGCACTTTGGCCTAGAGGCTTTGAGACGATTGATCACCAAGTATGATCCACAGAACCCACAAGCAAACTCAGCTTTGCTGAAGAAGGTCCTGCACCCACAACAGTGTGCATTGGATAAGCTCAGAGAGAGCATAGAAGCCTGGGAAAACATCAGGCGAAAGTATGAAGAGCGGAAGAAGAAAGCTCTTGATGATGACATCGCAAGAAGTTGTCTTCAGCAGATGTGTCCAGCCAAACTTCAAGATCACCTTGACCTCCAGAGTTCGAGACTCATTGATTATGCCATCATGAAGTCAGAGATTTTGGCCTACCTCGAGAACATCGAGAGCCGAAAAGAAGCAAAGACTGGATCAGCACCAATGGATGTTGATGCACTAGCCGCAGCTGCCAGCCAGATGCAAGCTTCACTTGCAAGTCTGGCCAAAGCCAAAGGAAAAGGCAAAGGTGGCTCAAAAGGCGGCAAAGGAAAAGGAAAGAGTCAAGATGAAGGCAAGGGAAACGACAAAGGTAAACAGAAGGGAAAAGGTTCTTCGTGGTCCAATCCCTCGTCATGGAACAACTCATGGAACAAGAACGATTGGTATAAGAATGATTGGAACAAGAGTAGTTGGTACAACCAAAACTCCAAGGGTAAAGGCAAAGGTGGCAAAGGCAAAGACTCTAAAGGTAAAGGCAAGGGTAAAAGTAAGAAGGTAGCTTCAGTTGAGGAATCTGAAACCTCTATGGCTCAAGAGCATCAACCCGAGCCTGAGTATTCAGCTGACATCGCTACCCTCTTTGCCATCGAGATGGAGAAAGCAGCACCTGCCGCAATTTCTCGTGGAGCAGCCAAGGCAAAAGCTGAGACTGAAGTCAAGGCTATGCCAAAGAAGCCAGGAGCTGGAAAAGGTCGTCCTGGAATTGCAGCTGCTGGGATTGCAGTCATGAACCAAGCAATCCAAGAGACCATGCAGTCCAATCGCGAGCTGTATGAGAAGAAGTCTGAGACAATCCAGAAGGCCATCGAAGAGGCCGAAGCCAAAGGCAAAGCAGCCAATGATGCCATCTTGGAACAACAGGCCGAGATGAAGAGGCTGAAAGAACAGTATGAAGAAAAGGAGAGAGAAGCCAAGATCTTGCTGAAGAGGCCAACTCCTCGCCGAGCCGCTTCGGTTCCGGCGGAGTCGCCAAGGCTCTCAGCTGATTTGGCATCAGGCATGGACCCAAGATTGGCCAAGAAGAAAGAGAAGAGCCGTCAGCGCGCTGAGCAACATCGCGTTGACAAGGCCCAGGGTCGTTTCGAATCCTGGCGCGACTATGAGGCCAATTACCCTGAGGAGCTCGACTACTATGAGATCGCTCGTGCCAAGGGTACTGGTCGACTTCAAGCTTGGGATGATGAAGATGATGAGGGAAAGTTTGATGAAGCCCCTCAGCCTCGAGGTCGGGAAAAGGCCCAGAGGCATCGTGGCTACAAGAAGCCAGGAAAGGCAAAGAAGCCTGAACAGCCAAAAGAGAAGGAGCCCAAGATCGAGGATCTCTCCACTCAAGAGTTGGCAGAGATGAAGCGGGAAAGCCAGACATGGACGGCTACTAGCCATCCAGCCCGCAGTGTCATCGACAAGGCGCTCACTGCAGCTGGGTTCAACCCAGAGGACTATGTTGTGATGAAGCGCGTCGAAAGCCAAGGCGAAGGAGCAACAAGCGCACCATCCTTCGCAGCTCCAGTCATGGAGAACATCAATCCCCTTGATGTGACTGAGATCGAGGGACTCGAAGAAGAAGAAGAGTTTGAAGGTGAAGTCGAAGAGGATGAGAATGGCACTGAGCCAGCTGACGAGGAGTCAGATGGACAAGAAGAAGAAAAAGAGAAAGATACCGTGCCATGGCTCGACCACATGTTATGAGCAAGGGCTGGTGCATTCAGATGCACGGATCTGGTGGACAGATCTCCCGAGACGGGACTAAGATTCCGATCTCGTTCAGCAACGGCGTCTGTTCTGTGCCGCTTGCATTTCACCCTTTCGTCCGGCACCGCAATGGGTAAGTCCGGTAGTGGACGAGCAGGCCGAAGAGGCCGAGCCAGGCGACGAAGTGCCGCCTGAGCTCAAAATCCATGCTCCCACTCGCCCGACGAGAAAAGAGTTTGAAGAGCATGCTGTTTCACACTTCCCTTTTAGGTCTTGGTGTGAAGCCTGTGTAAGGGGAAAAGCTAAGGCAAACCCCCACAGGAAGATAGACCACACCGATGAGACAACCCCAGTAGTGACTGTAGACTACTGTTTCATGAATTCACGAACTGATGATGTAGTTTTGGACGAGAAGACCCATGCACCAATTCTTGTTGTCAGAGATCGATGGACGAAGCATCTTTTTGCTCATGTGTTGCCCTACAAAGGTGTGACAAAAGGTCCATATGGATCCAAAGTACTTTTGAACGACATCAAGAAACTAGGATACTCCAAACTGATCATTCGACATGATCCTGAACCTGCTCTCACATCCGTTGTTGAGGCAGTAAAGAACGGGTTTGAAGGAACCCTGATCATCGAGAAGAGCCCGAAAGGAGTCAAAGAATCCAAGGGAGAAATTGAACGAGCAGTTCAAACCTTGGAAGGACAAGCCAGGACTCTTCGAGCCGCAATCGAGTCGAACTATGGTGAGAAACTTCCTGACGATTCACCTGTTTTGACTTGGTTAGTTGAACACGCATCCACAGTCTACAACTTGTTTTTCCGATCCACCGAACTTCAAGACGGAAAGACTCCGTATTCACGACTTCGTGGACGTGAATGGAAAGTAGCAATTCCACCATTTGGTGAGGCCATCGAATACCTCAAGAGAGGTCACAAGTTCGAGGCCCAATGGACCAAAGGAATTTTTCTAGGAGTGAAAGACACCACCACAGAGAAGATAGTAGGAAATTCCACAGGTGTTTTCACAGTGCAATCCATTCGAAGAAAGCCAGAAGAAGATCGATATGATTTAGAGTTGCTGAAATCGATCACTGGGATTCCCTGGGATCCTCAAGCAATCCGCGAAGAACCAGCGATTGCAGCCCCAAGGGAACCAATCATTGCCAGCCCAAGTGGTGAAGCTTTGGTGCAACCACCGGCAATGGATGACAAGAAAAGAAAGCTGAGAAGGCTTTACATCACCAAGAAAGACCTGGAAAAGTTTGGGTATACTGCAGGTTGCCCAGCTTGTGATGCCACACAGATTGGCAAGAGATCTACAGGCATCCATCACACCAGCAGGTGTCGAGACAGACTTGAAGAGAGCATCAGAGGAGAAGAAGAAGAGAACCCAAGAGTAGCAAGACATGAAAGCCGAGTTGGAGAGGCAATCACTGGCATGCCACAACCAGTCAGTGGCAAGAGACCGCAAATCCTTCATGGATATGAAACCAAAAGACCATCGGGAGTTCCCGATTCGTGTCGAGTGTTCGCACGACTTGACGTTGAAGCTTACTGTTTTCAAACCACTATGCCAGGAGGACCTGATTGGTCTACCGTCTGGCACCGAGTCACAAGAAACCATGCAAACAACGCAATCATTGAGAGTGGAGTCATGACGACAGACCTTCCACCAGAGATACTCAATGGAGCATTACCGCACAAGATGGACATTGTGACAGAACTGTGGTACGAACCAGAAGCAGCACCACCAACACCAGGCACAGCATCAGCTTCAGCATCAGGTATTCGCAGACCACGCGAACCTGAACCACATGGAGAAAAGAGAGAACATGAAGAACAACATGAACCAGCAGGATCACCCACAGCAAAAGCCAGAGTAGATAGAGACAAGAAGAGAAAGGCAGAAGGCGAACATGAAGATGAAGCCGAGAGAACAAGAGACATCCAAAGCATTGAGATGGCTCTAGAAAGCCTAATCCTAGAAGACAGAGAGAGAGTGCTATCCAGCATCGACCCAGAGAAACCAGTGTGTGAAGAGAAGATCCCACTGCCAGAAGAAATGGCAGAAGAAGCAAAAGACTGGTGGTACTATGATGACATCAGTGGAAAAGAGCTGCTACCTGAGAAGGTAGAGAAAGCCAGAAAAGATGAAATCGACATTGTCGAATCAATGGGAGTTTGGGAAAAGATCCCAAGAAGCAAAGTTCCAAAAGGAACCAAAATCATTGGAACTCGATGGGTAGATGTGAACAAGCAAGATGAAACCAATCCTCTCTACAGAAGTCGATTGGTAGCGCAAGAGATCAAAAGAGACTGAGGTTTTGACGAATTTTTCGCAGCCATGCCGAGCCTTGCAGCTTTGAAGCTACTGCTAACCATTGCAGTCAGCGACAGCCTTCCATTGGAGAAAGGCGAAAGAAGAAAAGCAAAGCAATCTTTCCTAGGATTTTTGGATGTGAAGAGAGCTCATTTCTACTCCAAAGCAACAAGAGAACTCTATGTTGAAATTCCATCAGAAGGCAAGAAACCAGAAGATGGAGATGTGGTAGGAAGATTGGTCAGAAGCCTATACGGCACCAGAGACGCACCCATGAATTGGGAGCTGACCATTGCAGAGTTTATGAAAAAGCTAGGATTTGTTCAAGGCAAGTCCAACCCATGCATCTACTACCATGCATCCAGAGAACTTCGAACAGAAGTGCATGGAGACGATTTCACGACAGTTGGAAGTTTTGATGACATCAAATGGTTTCACACTTCAGCAGCCAAAGAATGGCAAGTTGTGGAACGAGGCATTCTCGGTCCACCAGGTTCACCAAAGGCAAGCCAACAGATCAGAGTGCTGAATCGCATCATCACCTGGTCAAATGAAGGCATTTGGTGGGAACCAGATCCAAGACATGCAGAGTTGATCATCAAGTGGTTAGGCACTGGTCAACCAGGCAAGGTCAAGACCCCTTTGGCCAAGCCAAGTCAAGAGGAACTCCAACACGAAGAAGTTCCGCTGAGTGCCGAAGATGCAACGATGTATAGATCTATTGCTATGAGAGCCGCGTATTTGGCACAGGATCGACCTGATCTGCAAACTGCAACGCGCTCATTGGCACAAGGTCTACAGAACCCAACATCGAGGCACTGGAATATGCTGAAACGATTGGCTCGATATGTCAGGTATCGACCAAGAGTTGCACAGTTGTTTCCAAACCAAAGCACTTGCAACCCCTTCAACATGTGGTCAGACGCCGACCATGCAGGTTGCATAAGGACACGAAAGAGTGTGTCAGGAGGCGTGCTCATGGCCAACAAATGCTGTCTCACAACATACAGCAAAGGCCAAGGAGTTGTCTCCCTGAGCAGTGGCGAATCCGAGTACTACGGACTTGTTTCCGGAGCATGTCAAATGCTTGGAATCGCATCAACAGCAAGAGACTGGGGATTGTTTCCCAGCAAAGAGGTGACAATGGACGCTTCCGCTGGCATCGCCATGGGAAACCGTCGAGGCTTGGGACGAGCTAAACATGTTGACACTCAGTATCACTGGGTACAAGAGCGTACAGCAAAGAAAGAGTTTCGTCTCAAGAAAGAAGGCACCGACCGAATGTTGGCCGACGTGCTAACGAAAGCTGTCACCGAAGAGAAAATGACTACAGCTATGAAAGGCATGAACTTCCACTACCTGGAAGGTGAGCATGAACTGACTTTGAAAGCGTGAACGGCTTGAGCTAAAGTAGGTACTTCTACAAGACCAAGATGTACTGAAGGGCTATGGGCTAATTCACTAAAAGTGCTAATCCTGACTCGGTTAACATCTCCCAGAAGTTAAACTCGGGAGGCGTGATCAGATGTAGCACCAGGTACATGTACATGACATAGCTTGTATAGATGTATGTTTCACTGCAGCCGTTTGTTCAAGTTTGTTCAAGTTGTGGTTTACTTTTGTGTTCATTTCACTACCAGAGCTTACGCTTGGAGTGGAGCTAAAAGTGTGCCTAAGCTTCTACTACAACCTTTGGGACAGTGACTTGGGGTCACAGAGTTTAAGAGCCTAAATTCTCCGTTCAATAGATCTATGATATCTTATCATACATACATGGAGTGATATGGAGTGTTTAGATTAGGTGTTGTTCCCCACATTGACGTGTGGGGTTCTTGTTTTAATTGTTGTATCCGCCCCGCACTCCGCCCCGCACTCCGCCTCCTCCTCCCGCCATCCGCTTGCCACCAACCAACTGCCACCCACCAATTGTCAACAACAAATTTCAACCAACCAATTGCCGGCAATTTGTTGGTGACAATTGGTGGATAGCAATTGGTTGAGAATTGGTAGGTAGCAATTGGTTGGTAACAATTGGTGGGTGGCAATTGGTCGGTGACAATTGGTGGGTAGCAATTGGTTGATGACAATTGGTTGATGACAATTAGTTGATGACAATTGGTTGGTGACAATTGGTTGGTGGCAATTGGTTGGTGGAAATTTGTTGGTGGCAACTTGTTGGTGACAATTGGTGGGTAGCAATTGGTTGAGGACAATTGGTGGGTAGCAATTGGTTGGTAACCAATTGGTGGGTGGCAATTGGTTGGTGACAATTGGTGGGTAGCAATTGGTTGATGACAATTAGTTGATGACAATCGGTTGGTGACAATTGGCCAATTGCTACCTACCAACTGTCCTCAACCAATTGCTACCCACCAATTGTCACCAACAAACTGCCACCAACAAATTTCCACCAACCAACTGCCACCAACCAACTGTCACCAACCAATTGTCATCAACCGATTGTCACAGACGTGTCTGTGCTGCTGTGATTTGCGTGGCAGGCGCCGTACTTTGGTGTTTTGCAGGGGGTCGGATGTACGCCGGTGCGGGGCTGCTGGGTCTCCGCCGCTGTGCCGCTGTGATGTGTGTACCAATTGCCACCCACCAATTGTCACCAACAAGCTTCCACCAACCAATTGCCACCAACCAATTGCCACCAACAAACTGCCACCAACAAATTGCCACCCACCAACTGTCACCCACCAACCACCAATTGTCCGCTCCTGTGTCTGGTGTAGTTGTTAACATGTGGGGTTTTCCGGTCCTATAGTTTGTTAATTGTTTTGCCGGGATTAACGCGTCATTCTTTGGCTCAGTAAGTATGTCAATGCCTGACTGGCGTAAGGACATGTAATGACTAAATGTGCATAGACGTCCTCCTCTTGCCTTGCCTGAATGGATGTGGGTCATGATGACGTTGTTCATGACATGACGTCGTGGTCACCATTCCATTACAGTTCCTTAGCCCTTATTCCTCAGGATCTACATACCCTCCCAGAAGGTGATTGGAGACACTGTTACGTAGGTTTGGAGGGTCCAAGTACCTTCTGAGAAGGTACTTGGATCCCTAGAGATTAACTAATGCATAATCAATAAATAGCCTCGTCATGTCCTGACATACTCGTCATGACTGTTCTCCTCGTCATGATGCCTCGTCCTGCCTACCTTGCCTCCCTCATGGACGGCCTTAATGATGCTCATCGTTGCCTTAATTGAAATTGACTACCTGAACCTTCAAAGGGTGTCCTGTCTGGAGGTCCCTTAGTACTGTAGGGGCTTCCAGCCAGGTGACCCCTTTGAAGATGCTGGAAAATTTCGTTTGACGTAGTATTGTTGTCCTTTGAATTCAGAGATGTCCATGACGTCCACGACAGTCGACTGTCTTGCCGCAAGGTCCTTGGACTAATCCCGACGGGTTCCGGCTCCAACTAGCTTCCGAAAAGGTGGTTGGGGTAGGTTTGGGGGGTCTAACTACCGTCTGAGGATGTGGTTGGAGTCCAAAATAACTTCTGATGTCTAAGCAAATGGTGGAACATCAGGGCTCGAGTTCCAAAGAATCCCTTTCTTCTACTCAAATCCTGAGGAAATGCAAAAAAACATCCGTGTGCAAAACAAGTTCAGGAAAGTGTCCTTGCGATATTGAAAGTTTGACCCTGTCGCGTTTGACGATGCCATTTCACATTGACACCAAAGACTTGTTGTCACAAGTTGAAGCAAAGTAAACAGAAGCGGCCAGTGCACTGGCTCATGCCCCAGAGACAGCCCACAACAGCAGTCACATGAACGGGCAAGTGGCCACTTTGCAATTACGAGAAGATCGAAACGACCGAACGCAAAACAACGCAGCGAGGGCTAAGTTGAGCAAAGCACCGCGAGGACTTGAGTAGTACAGGATGGTGGGAAATGGACCTATATACTACTTCTAGTACAAGTAATTATCAATCTTGAGCCAAGAACTCGTAGGGGGCAAAGCTCAGCACCGTCGTCCATCGCGGTCGTCTCCATCCCGGACGAGCTGCGTCAGTGGAGCACGTGAGTGGAGCGCAGCGTGTCAGCGTCAGCGTAGCTTGCGCTGGCCGGGGCACCGCTGTGGCACAGCGGTGGATGTGACAGCACACAGAGAAGCAATGAATGTTATGAAATGTGTGCTAAGAGGTTGAAAAAGTGGGGTCCCGGGTGTTTCACCAGGAGCCGGACACCCGGACGGCTCCCCTGGCTCCAGCCTTGCTTTTCCCAGAATGAGCCGGAAGGTACAGGAGAACCGGTCCTGAACACTCAGTTCCTTTGGGGGCCCTGGGGTTGAGTGCCACTCCTTTTGGACCACCACCTTTAACTGGCTTTTCCGTGCATCAACATGCCTTATTGACCCTGAGTCCCAATGCATGCAAGTCGACATGTCTAAAAGGATCCATTATGTAAAGCTTCCGCATGAGCTTGTGTTCGGCAGCGAAAAAGAAACTCTCATGACTGGCGCGAGGCATACAACAACACCATCTATGCCAACAACCTTTGCGTCCTTGCGGCGCGGGGACTTGGGATGACTTGGGTCAATTAAGACGACACTTGCACTGCAGGACACACAAGGAGTCACACTCGGTCTTTCGCAGGTACAGAGGCAAGCTTTATGGAGTATCCCTATCCGACATATTTCTAAGTTGTAATCAGCTACTTACATACAATACCCAGTGGATCCAGTTATATACCATTACTCTAGGTGGTAGCCAGTGGTATTTCCTCACTACTCGTGGTTGCCTGGGATCCCGGTACATCTTACTGGCGGTGTATTTTCAATAGGGAGACCCCGAAATCTCGCCCCTGGCTGGGTAGACTGGTCATCCTATGTCTTGAGCAACACACCCACTTGCTCTCCTACCGATAGGTGTTTTGGGTGTGTGAAACCACATGAATTGGACAGAGGGGCGAGCGAGATGCGAGCGTCGATGCAAGCATCGATGGAAGCCAAAGAAGAAGGAGGGATACAGAAGAAGCGGCCAGGAGAAAAGGATCTTGGGTGAATAGAGGTATATATTCTTTGATCTAGCACAGTGAAGAACCCGAGGCCTTGTCCAGCGTGGATTTGTGGAATGTGGTGCAGGCGCTTCATCATGCGGTGCAGCTCGGTGAGGGACGGACCCAAGCAGCTTTTTGACGCACCCCGAAATGGCACAAGATGTCACAAGCATGAAGAAGGAAGTTCTGATTCTTGTCCAAACCTTTTGGTGTGTGGGGATGGCTGGGGTGACTCCATATTATCACCTGGAGGTCCAAGATCAATGTCAAAACTGTTGACACTGATTTTGTAGTGCAAAATCCTTAGTAAAAACAATGGTTGTTCAGTGAAAAAGCTTTGACTCGAGGGTTGAAGCGGGTACCACTGGAGAACCAACCAAAAAAAAATCAGTATCAGAGTCTCTTCATACTTCAGGGATCAAAGAAGTACTCCCCAAGGATCCAATGCACCGAGGGCTCCTGGCCGCCCCCCTCCTGAGGTTCGATGGTTATGGTGGGTGCCAGGGGGGTCGAACACCACCGAACCTGAGGAGATGAGCCAGGAGCCCTAGGGAATACACTCCATGCCCAGACACTCCATCATCGGCAGTCCTATGGCAGTCCCATGGGTCGTGTTTGGGTCCCAGAACTTCTGAATGAGCTTGACACATTTCGGACCGGACTTCAAGTCGCTCAGAACATGGGACATTGCCCGATACCAAAAACAAAGCAGGTACAGTCCTCCACGTTCCCAGGTCCGGACGAAGTACCGGTGACACTTCAGACAGGAACACCTGGCTTGACATGAACCATTCGTTTTGGCGCTCCAGGATCACCCCGAAGATTCCTTGTTGTTGGAGCCGCTCTGCAACGTCGAGGATGCGGCTTTTGGGGCGCAGCGGTGGCGATCGCGCAGAAAGCGGCGCGGTGGCGAACCGGTGGTGGGCTGCTTGTCTTGGCCCATGTGGCCCTGCAAGACTTGACACTGACCGTCGCGAAAGGTGTGCATGGTGTTGGTTGGTAGGGTTTAGCTATGGCTTATTTTAAATATACATGGTTTAGTTTTACTATACATGGTTTATATAATATGGCTTGGTTTAGTTGGTCTGTATTGTAAATTTAAAATATAGATTTACTCTGGCTTATTTTAAGTACGTATAGTAAATGTGCTGAATGGTGTATCGGGTATACATGTGGCTATGGCATGCTATGGCCAGAAACCGACCCTCCACAAGCTACATTTGGAACATGCCAAGCTTGCACCAAACCGTGCGGTTTGCGTGGCTCACCTGTCAGGAGGATCACGATCATTCCAGGCACGCCGACGGCCGACTCGTGCGGTCGGTCTCGACGACTCGTGCGGTCGAGGTCGAGACGACTCGTGGTCTACCCAGGAGCCATGTGGCGTATGTCAGGAACAAGACAATTCTATTCCTGGAGCGGGGTCGAGACATGGGCTGCGGTCAGTGCTGCATGGGCCACAAGAATTCGAGGATTGGACAGAGAAGACTACCTGCCAATGATTCTTTCTGCCCGCAATCTATATAGCATGCTCCGGAGATTAGGATCAGGGGCTTCACCGTCAAAAATGGTATTGTTTTCCAGCCTGCCGGGAATTCTTAGCTTGATGACTATAGCAAAAACATACATATATACATATAATCATTGTGGGTCTGAGTATTCTCACTTCAAGACCATTTCAGTGACACTAATCTGTATTGTATACACCTAGAACCCAGGAATTGACCTCTAGTGTTGATAGGAAAGGCACATGCTTGGGCTGCAAAAACAGGCGTCACTGAGCTTGTAAGTATTCCCTAACGCGGACTGAACACCTGGCAGAACACCATCCGTTTCGGGAGGGTAGTACATCCATTAAGTCCGCATATACCATGAAAATGACCCATGCCATGCAACGATCTTCCAGGCCTTCACGGATTCTGTATACGGGTCGTCCGTTCTTTTGCGGATGTTGTTTCAACAGGTCTCAACCACTGCCACCGGTCGGCACCGTTTGGCCGAATGCGGTGAATGCTTGACCCCTTCGCGGCCTCGAAGCGTTCGGGTCGCTTTCAGGTTGGACGACCGGATCTTCCGACTTCCCATGAGCGCGGAGATGTCCTTGGAGTTTCTGGGGATGCTTTGCGAGCACATCGAGGTGCGGAGAAAGAAACGGCATGCGCCACGGCATGCGCCACGGCAGTTGAAACTGGCGTAAAGATGCCAGGTTCTTGGTTTGATGCCAGGGCATGGGGTTCCTTTTGGGTGGGTTTGTTTCTTGCTGTTGCATGTTTTGTTTGTTTTCTTTGTTGTATGTGTTTGTTGTGTGTTTTATGTTTATTGTTCGTCCTCCGATGCCTTTTTGGACGGACTCGGAGTCTTCTTGAATGGGAGAAGAAATGCGGTAGACTTGAGGTCAAGGGTTGTGTGTAAGATCAAGTGTCATATACCGCGAACCTACTTCAGACATCCATACATTGGACATGGGGGTCAAGAAACACACATGTGTTCAGTGTTGGCCTTTTAAATGTATCTTGGGGATGTCCATGATTATAGACCACGAAAATGTAAGTTTTCTATAGTTTTCTAGGTCGATTCTATAGAATATATATAAAGGTTAAGTCAGGTTTTGGGACGCTTACGCTCCAATTTGTTCACGACTTGATCCAGCTGTGTGTGTGTGTATGTCTCGCCCTGTTTCTAAGGGACCTTCAGAAGAGGATTCTAATGCAGGGGCATCCCAAGCGAGTGAACAACCAGCACTGAAGTAGTAAGCAAGTGAACACATCAGCAAAAGAGGTTCTCCTGAACCAGTGCAAGCTGATGAACGAACATGTGGAGATTCTTCGGTCGACTGAAGAAATGCTCGAGGGGTTGATTGACCAAGGGAAACAAAAGACAAAATTGCTTGAGCAGCAGAATAAGTTGCTTGAGATGTTGGTGAGCAGTCAGCAAGGTGTCAAGCAGCAATCGACTCCGATGACTCCAGGGAGAAAGAACCTTCGCTTGCTGTGCCAGCAAAATCTGGGGGTAACAGAAGGAAGGGTTCGTCGGCAGACTTGTCCGTCGGTTCCCTCCCTTCTTTACCCTTTTCTACCCTAATGGGGCGATTCGTAAGTCTCGCCCCCTGGCGAAACAGGAGGCTCACCCTTTCCCCTTCCAGCTACCAAACAGGAGGCTCCAAATTCCTCCCCACCTGAGCCAGGAAAACGCGCTGTGTTCATCAGTCAGGCAGGTAAATATCACTGCCTGCTGTGAGAGAGTGATTGCGGCTGTGACTTCGGCAGTAAAGGCACAGAGCAATCCGATCCACCCAATGATCATGGTGTTTGCAGACTGATGAGGGTCCCTTGGTGTGCCTCATCTAACAAAGATCGCGCCAAGTGGATGTGATATCGGGTCCCGGCCAGCACCGACGTACCTGCATGGTGACAACACGCCACTTTTCCTGCGCTGTTGTTTGCTTTCATGGCGGCTCATGTCATTTCTCCCCCTGAAACCCTACCAGCATTTTTGCAGCGGACTTGCAGCCGATCTCGCGCGTGTGTTCACAGATATCATTGTTGAAACACCTTCAACTCTACTGACACAGCATTCTTGCCGTTCTGCACTAAGTAGCCAGTCAAGCGACTTGCGCTCTGGAATTATTGCTTGAATGAACCTATCGAAGTGTGTTCTGCTGCGCTTTCCCACTTGGTGCGTAGTGTGATCCCCGCAAGGGGCGCCGAAACCATCGGGATTCTCTTCTTCAGCACAGCGGTTTTTGAGTGGATAGATCTTTAACTGCTCAATTGACCTGGACGGATCAATAGATTCTTTTGCCGCCGGGCTCACGGAGACTCAACGTCTGACAGCTTGTCATTGTGACTTTTCCACTGTTCACCTTTTCAACGCGTCAATTTCAAGTCATGGCAGCCATGCAACGCATCGTGATTGCACCAGTTCATAACAATTCGAAAACTTTCACAATTTTCCACGGAACCTGTGCGAACACTACCACCTCAGCAACCACGGCGGTCCACCACCTCATTGACCTCTACCTGGCAAAGGGACACCCGGCAGCGGCCTGCCGACGGTTTTTGGGAGCGACAAAAGGTTTTTGCCAGCGTGGGCGCAATGCGGCACGTTGTGTGTGTCTCGCCCTGTTTGCAAGGGCCCCACTTTCAGTTTATCCTGCAGGGGCTGAGCCAGGAAAACGCGCTGTGTTCATCAGTCAGGCAGGAAATATCACTGCCTGCATACTTTGTTAGGACTTGGCCGGACTTGGCCATGTCGTGGCTATCGCCCAGTTTTTGGGAGGAACATAGCGTGACGTGGAATCGAGGGGCCTGTGCAGAGGCCCAGGCTGCAGAGCAAAGTTCAGCTCCTTCAGAAACACCCCTTGTCAAGAGCAGCGTGGCAGTTAACGTTCGTCCGAGGGCACCACGACCGCCGTTTGTGGTTCCTCCACGGCCTATGCGGCCAGCTATGGCGCCTCCTGCAATAGCCATGCGGTGTGATTTGCGCGCAAGTTCAGGCTTGGCACCATCACCAGTGCCGCCGTGGGAGGAGGCATTGATTGGAGCGGGTCAGGAACCTACCTCCACCTTCCGCCTTCAGCTCCGTCCAGCCGCGAGAGTGAGCCCAAATCGAAGAAGGCCAGAACAACAACCACAAAGGCCACAAAGGAGGATGCGAAGGACGAGTTGCAGGAGGGGGATAACGCTGGTCCGATTGAATGAACCTATCGAAGTGTGTGCCACCTCCTGTCCCCAAAGGAGAGCGACCACATCGTCTAAGTAGAATTCCCCTTTTAACCTTTAGTCCGTTTCCGTGTGCAGGCTTGCAGGGGGCACTGAAGGTGCTGATGAGACGAGTGCTAACAAAGACGCTCATCAATCAGCCACCTGTGATACAGTTGGAGACGTCCAACTGTGTACCTGCAATTTTAACTTCACTTAGCGGTTGTGATGTTCACAATCTGTTATAACCCTCCTTTTCCACTAAAGCGCTAATGTGTCTTGTTCAAACCATACTGTTGTCGCGGACTCAGTCGCCTTTCGGTTCCCTCAGCCAAGGTCCAATTGCGTGTAAAGGTCTACTTGCAGCAACACTGGAGTTCCCAAACTGATTTAGCTTTTGCGAGCATGGATCTAAAAGTGTGCTTCGCAACAGGGTCCCACTGAGGTCTGTTGTGTGATCCCTATAGGGGCGCGTTGAGCATAGAATTGTAAGGGGGACTTGACTTGTCAGTGATTGATCGTTACGCACCTCCACTGCTCAGCCGATTGCTCGAGATTGCCGATATGACGCTGCAGAGCTTACTGACAGTTCCTCACAGAATGACACATCATTCGGCTAAGTATTCACAATGACATGTCAAGCAGCTATAGTACTCACTCATGCGGCTAAGTATTTATTTTGTTGTTTCCTCTCTCGCTGTTTCTCGTCCTTTTCTAGGTTTTCTCTCGTTGCTAGGCTTTTTATGCGTAACCAGGTTTGTTTCATGTCACAGTATACTAAGTATTCACTTGTACGTTTCACACGGAATAATTCATGCACGGTCTTGCTGTCTATCCTTCCAGGGTTCTTTTGTTCCTTTCCAGGTTTTCGTTCGTTGCTAGAGGCTTTTCAGGTGTCAGGTTAACTTTTTCAGTCAAGGGAGCGCCGATTCGGCAAAGTGTGGGCGTCTCACCTCCTGTCCCCAAGGACGACCACATCGTCCAAGTAGAATTCCTGACCCTTTAATCCGTTTCCGTGTACAGACTTGCAGGGGGCACTGGGGGTGCTGATGAGACGAGTGCTAACAAAGACGCTCATCAATCAGCCACCTGTGATACAGTTGGAGACGTCCAACTGTGTACCTGCAATTTTAACTTCACTTAGCGGTTGTGATGTTCACAATCTGTTATAACCCTCCTTTTCCACTAAAGCGCTAATGTGTCTTGTTCAAACCATACTGTTGTCGCGGACTCAGTCGCCTTTCGGTTCCCTCAGCCAAGGTCCAATTGCGTGTAAAGGTCTACTTGCAGCAACACTGGAGTTCCCAAACTGTTTTAGCTCTTGCGAGCATGGATCTAAGTGTTTGCGTGTAAAGGTCTACTTGCAGCAACACTGGAGTTCCCAAACTGTTTTAGCTCTTGCGAGCATGGATCTAAGTGTGTGTGGTGTGGGTCTTTGTCAAATTTGTGTGGACCTGAAGAAGGTCCGTGGTTTTGTGTCTGCCCCATGACCCAGGCACGACCGTCATCTGGAATGAACTTTCACCAGTTTTTCATAGGTCTTAACATGCATCTATATGCTCAGCACCCTGATTCTCAGAAACGAGTTGGTTTGGCTTCAATTTTTACGTCCATCAAGATTGGTTTCAAAGCAAATGACCAGGGCGACGAGCAGGGGGGTACACAGGAATTGGTACCAGAATGTTCCTAGCGCGGCAACGTTCACCTGTTTGATTCAACTTTTCTGTTCCAACTGTCACGCACGACGAGGGGCGAGGGCACCTTCCGCAAAAAAATGCGATCATGAACGTTTGGAAGGTGGTTGAATTTTCTCATTCAATCCAGAGAGGGGTCCCAAAATAGATAGACATGATCGCTTCCAGAGTGCGTGCATTTGTTCTATCTATCATGGGGTTTCAATGGTTTCAAGATGTCTCAAAAATCAGGCGCGCGTGTTTGACACCCCCGTGCGCGAGCTTGCAGCGACCGGAGTGCCAGTGACACACACAGTTTGTTTGTGGACTCATTTTTGTTTTTTTATGCATGTTTGACAAATCCTTTGTTGCGTAGTTCATTTATGCAAAAATCATTTAAGGTCATGATGTGTTTTTTCACCATGGAACCATAATTTAAACGCAACCTCCTGTATCTAACGCATCTAATTAATTGAATTCGATTATCAACCACTATACATCTGTATACTTTGTACCCCAGGTTCTTCTAAAGTGGTTCCGGGTGTTTCCGTGCCCATCCTCTCACCTAATCCACCCGACCCCCAACTTTTCACGGAGGCTCCACAGTCGTTTCGAAACCAGACATGGGGATGAGACTCTTGAGGACATGGGGAGACTGGTTCCTTTCCCCCCAAGCCTTCCAGCTGGTGGCCTCTACGGGTTTTTGTTTGATCCTTCCTTCCAGGATGCCTTCTTTGGTCCCGGCGAGGCGCCGAACTCTCGCTGGGTCGCTGGAGTTCGCGACGAAGAGAACACACGGGTCGATGGATTGGCGGGGAAGGAAGAGATCGAAGACAACGTCCTGCTGTTGGCTTTGGACGTTGGCAGGATCCTGATCCCCGGTCCGACCGCTCCGAACTGGAGGGCCCCGAACTTGGGTTCTTTGGGTAATTAGGTTGGATGAACGACTCTACACCCCTGCAGACTAACATGAATCAGAGGCAAACGGAAGGGTAGTGCACAGAAAGAGTTTTGAAAACACCTACACTACTAACATCGTGGAAGGCGCTGCGCATTCGTGGAACCCAGCACTATTCGTGGATGTTTCGTGGAATGGTGGGCCAGTAGGAAAACTGACTGCAACAAAATCCCAGAAACCTTCGCAGAACTTTGTGGAAGGTATTTTTGATGCACTAACTGCGTATATGCGATGTTTGCTGACCCCCTTTCTCCACACACCCTCCATTTAATGAACCCTGAAAATCACCATGTGGAAGAACATGTTCCTCTACAACCCACTGGTTTGAAAGTCCATGTTACTCTGCAGGACTGAATCTTTAGGCAATGACTAGTACCAAGGGCGCTATTAGGTGGAGGCCATTGCAAGTCGGTTGGAGGCCATCGCTACTAGTAACAAGAAGCTACTAGGAACAAGAACGTTTCAACTTCAATTCCCAAAGATTGGCTCACCATGATGGAGTCTTTCTGAAAGTCTGATATCTCTACCATGTGAGTCCACCAGTTGTTTGTCATCACTCGCAGTCCACCTGGTGTTCGTTCCCAGACTGGGAGGATTTACCGACATTGACCCTTAAATCATCTTAAAATCACCCCCATAGGTGAATATGCCATAGATAGATTGTTAGGCGTTGTTTTTTCTTCTCCTGATGACTTCTTCTCTTGCGGCTGGGGGGCAGAACATGGAAGTCATGCAGACAGGAGGTCGAAAGTGCGGAGTTTCTGTCTTTTTGTATGTCACCCAAGGTCTGGGCGTCCAGTCCACCATTATTCCTATTTATTCCCTAAAGCTCCAACCACATCCTCAGATGGTATCTAGACACCCCACACCCACCTTCTGAGGATGGGGTTGGAGCCCAAATTAGGGGATTGGAAAATGGTTAGCTCTGATGTTTTGTTTGCTTGACCCGGCCATGAAAATGGAGGCCATTGATGCTAGTGAAAAATGACGTGCGATGTTGTTTGAAAATATTTTGGAAATTTCATCAAGATCTTCGCCTGCTCTCGCCCAACTTGCGCGGTGCTCGCCAGGCGATCTTCAGCTACGGGGAGCCCTGCGAGTATGGCGTCAGCCGCTCCCGGCGCAGTTGCGACACGCCGTAGCGTCAATGCGGTGTCTTGCGTCAGAAACGCGTGTCGTCGTTTCGCGTGGGGCACCGACGGAGTCGGGGCAGTTGAAGCTTTTGGATTGTTCAGTGCATTGAGCTGGTTGCGTTGGACTTCGGATGGACATTGAGCTGGTTCTTCACGGAACGACTGGGATTCCCGGAACGACGCTCGTGGAGCCCAATCCCATTTGGAGCAACTTGCAGCGATGAGATTAATCCAGTTCACCTATTAAAAAAGGGCAGGGTGTTTTTTTATGCTAATGGTTTTTTTCTTATGCTCACAGCGGGGTTGGCGTGCTTTTGGGGTATGGGTTTCTTTTTTTATGCTTTGTAGTGCTTTTTTTTTATGCTAATGGTTTTTTCTGTTATGCTTGCAGTTCTTTCTTTTATGCTCCTGGTTTCTTTTTTTTTGCTAATGGTTTCTCTTTTTATGCTAAGGGTTTTTTTATGCGGCACTGTGGGAAGAGGTCACGTTGGGGGGTCCTAGTGCAGAATGTAATTGTCAGGAGGGTTTAGTGCAGAATGTAATTGTCGGGAGGCTTTAGTACAGAATGTAATTGTCGGGGGGCTTTAGTACCGAATGTAATCGTCGGGGAGTTTCAGTACAGAATTTAATTGTCGGGGGCCTTTAGTATCGAATGTAAGCGTCGGGGTGTTACCGAATGTAATCGTCGGGGAGTTCTAGTAATCATTTGGCTCCAGACTTTTTCTGCCCAATATTGCACTGCGTGGCATAAAAAAAGGTATGCTCGTCGTTGCTCGCGCACTTACATCGTGAGAGGGTCTTCCAAGTTGACTCACCCTTTGGTGAGCCACCCGAGGGTAAAATTTAGAGAAGGATGTTGCCATTTCAACTTGACTCACCCTTTTGTGGGCCATGCAGGGGTAAAATTTAGAGAAGGATGTTGCCATTTCAACTTGGCTCACCCTTTTGTGGGCAGGGGTAAAATTTAGAGAAGGATGTTGCTCTTCCAAGTTGACTCACCCTTTGGTGAGCCACC